TAATGGTGCACAATAAAGAATTATTAATTAATTCAAGTTAATTTAAAGTATTCATTAGACTGGCAGTGTCACCCACTTGGCTTTTGAAAATAATTCTTAATCCGTATATTGTTTTATTTATAATTCTGTAATAATCGCCGCAAATTGCCAATGTGCCTGGCCGCCATTTCAATGACGTAATTGCGCTAAAATCAGTACCGTTAACGACGAAATGCTTGTTGACGAGTTCACTTATGTATTGCATTGGGTTGTGTTGTTATCACATATTATTTCTGTTATGTTTTTGTTGTTTTCGATTGTTGTTACTTGTTATGGTTGATTAAAATAGCAACTGCTATTATTATCTTCACATTATGTAAAAATTATTTCACTAATAATAAATATATCTAATTTCATTATTTTACATTTTGGTTACATTAAAAAAAATCCTTTCCTTTTTTATCTTAATGTATTTTTTTATATTTTCCAAATATCACAATATTTAAATATAAAATGATTCTTTTTCAAAAATTCATGCAATGAATTAACAAACAAGTTATTAAATTATTATCACTTATATACATATTGGTGATTATTCAAAAATATTTCAGTAATTAATTAATAATTTATCTCTTGTCTTTTGTTGCTGTCTATGCTATTTTCATATGTCGTCACGCGGGTGTTATCTGAAATATTTTTGAATAATCACCAATATATAAGTGATTACTTACGGGACAAATAGCCGAGTTACGTAGTTTCGGTGATAAACGAGTCTTTGCGCCACAGCCAATAGTCTTATGTATTTAGATTTATAGTAAATTTTTAAAATTTCCAAATCATTTAATTTCCTATTTATAAATCCGGGATATACATAGTGATACAAAAGGTTATCAAAAATTTAGAGAAAGAAATAATATGGAAAGCTAAGCTCTCGTTAGTCCGGCCAGCACCACAACCATTAGTATTTTCTCAATCAGCCGTATTCAATTTCTGTTTTCGGGTTGAGTATATATACTTGTTATTAACTGTTGCACTTTAGAAGCTATTTGTTTAATGCAGAATGAACATGGTCATTCCTTTACATAATAAAGTTTTCTTTATGTTATTTTAATTTGCCTGGATTTGCCGTCACCGAAGATTTGACTGTATGGCATAGTTCCTTCGCCTGTCCTATGGACGAAATTACTACTACACTGGATGTGCCGCTATGGCGGTCTACATTTTTTGATTTACGATTAATTAAATTATTTAAGTAGCCATAAAAACCATATTACCAAATTATATCTATGTTGAAATTGCCCTCATAAATTATAGCCTATGTCACCCGCGCATGATGTTAGCGTACATAGGTAAACTATTTTAAAATCCGTACAGTACTTTCAGAGCTTATTTAATGCAAACAAACAAATAATTATACCTATCTCTTTTATTATATTTGATCAATTTTACGTTTACAATGCTATAATGGAAAATATTCTTCATGAAAAATGCTTCTTTGTTCCTGGTATTGTGAGATGGGATTCGAACCCACGATCACGGCGACTGCTCTAATCACTGAGCTACCGAGGACCTAACAGGACTGATGAATTCTTCCATAGAGCACGTTTTCATCAAAGTTCAGGCAATCTTCTTAATAAAGCATACATAAAGAGTTCATTGTTCTTAACATACATTTATTGGTCAAAGTACTATAGAACGGTACACGTCAAGCCCTTAGTCCTGGCTGCATCTAAAATCGTTGTGGGATAATCGTGATCCGTTTTCTCTATTTGAAACATTAATAGTTTTCATTCCAAAGTTGAGTAGAGCATGGCGTGTTTATGCGTAGGTAAGTACAAGTTCCATGGGTAAGAAACTTTATTTTGTAGATACTTAATAATAGTTTAATGATGTTAAATTACGTAAAATCGCATTTGAAAATTAGAAGCTTATTGGCGCAGAGGTTCGCGTTCTGGTATGGGATACGGCTGTCATGCAACTTTTGCAATGGCCTGTCATAGTATGGGTAACTAAAAATTATTATCTCAACAAGCTCCTTTCTTCGGGAGGCACGTTAAGCCGTCGTTCCGATAAATACGTATTTACGATAAATACGTAAGTGCAAAATTAAATATAAAAAAATAGTCTTCAACAAAAATAATTGATTTACTTTTATTACGCTTTCGTCGCCTTCAGATAGTAACATGAGGTCATTTTCAGATTCATATTACAGTAAAAATTTACAAAATAATTAATTATTCCTCGGTAAGTCGGTAAGTATATTCCACATCTATCGATCCTGAAAGGCTATTTTGTTTTCATTTAAGCTTTTTAATATTAATGTCACTGCATTTAATGATTATAAAGACTGGGAGCATTTGTCGAGAAATATAGAACGACATGAGAAAAGTTCAGGGCACATATGTTCTTTTAAAAAATATTTCTAAAAAATGACTTATTGAATGGGCAAACAGTGGACTCGGTAAGTCAAACCGAAATACGAGTAGACCGCGAGAAAAAGAGATGGGCGGGAGTTTTCGAAAGGATAATCGAAATTATGAAATTTTTGGCAGGACAAAATATAGCATTTAGGAACACAACTGAGAAGTTGTATGACTCAAATAATGGTATTTTTTTTTAAGTTGTTGATGAGTATATCTAATTTTGATAGTACAATGTCAGAACACATTGCTCGAATTCATAGAGCTCAAGCCCTATGTAGTTTGTGGAGCTCAGCATCGCATGCCAAATTACCTTGGTCATAACATTCAAAGACAACTGTTTAGTATACTTGCTGAAAAAATTATAATTAGTATAATTAGTCTTTTGAAACAATGTAAATACTACTCTGTAATTTTATATTGCACACCTGATATTTCACACCTAGAACAACTTACTGTTATCGTGAGGTTTATATATTTATACCCATCGACAAAACATGCTGAGGTACGAGAACATTTTTTAGGTTTTTTACCTGTACCTAACTGATATATCGGACAAGGGTTGGCGACTTATTTGTTAGATTTCTTAAAATCATGCAATATTGAATTAGATGACTTGTGAGGCCGAGATATGATAATGGGGCCAACACGAGGGGGAAAAATATAGGCCTCCAAAAAAAATATTGGACATGAATCCTCGTGCTTTTTACGTACCGTGTGCTGCTCACTCCCTCAGTTTAGAATTAAATGACGACGCTAAAAGCTCATTGGAAATTACAAACTTTTGCTGTATAGTCGAAGAAATCTATACATTTTTGTCAGCAGATACTACTTATTTTGACATTAAAATCTCTCTCAAATACGCGTTAGGAAAGTAGATTTGATGCTCTTACGATTTAACATGGACAAACTTTGCGATGCATTTAGAGACTCACATGTTCAGTAATAACATGGTACAATTAAAAAAAAAAAATATTGTAAACAAAAATTTGCAAAAATCAGACGTAATTATTTCAGAGGCTACCAAAATGATTAATCTGGTTAAAAATGATTTGGAGCAATACCGCACTGATAGCGCATTTGAACAATTGTTATCTGATGCAAAAATAATTGCTGAAGAATTAGAATGTGAAACAGAATTTAAAGAAACTGCTCGTCCACGTCGTAAAAGACATTTTGCTTACGACAGATGAGCTCATTTTAGATCCAACCAACAAATTAAAAGTATGTTTTTATTTTATTTCTACTGGACACTGCTATCTCGAAATTAAATGAGAGATTCGATTTGCTAGCGGAACACAATTCACTTTTTTCGCTCTTCCAAATCATTGAATGCTGGAGTAAATTAGAGATTCTTGAAAAAATCTCAATGTTCTCGGTTCCAAGGAAAACTTACATTTATAAACAGATTTGATATTGACAGGGAGGCTTTATATAATAAATTATAATTGTTGCCAATTTTTGTACCCAATGCATCAATAAGTACTTCCACTGATATTTTTAATTAAATATATTCTAATAATTTATTTCTCCTCATTTCTTAATATCTCAACATCTCTACATATGTATTTAAAACTGCCTGTTATAGTAGCTGAAGGCGACCGTTCATTATCAAAATTAAAATTATAAAAAAATTTCTTCGGTCAACCATGACCCAAGACAGGTTGATAAACTAAGCTATTATAAGTATAGAATTCAAAATTGATATGAAAATAAATGATTTAATTAAAATCTTTGCCAACTCAAAAGCAAGAACAATTGAGTTTGTTCGATGTATCTATGTTCAAAGTTTGTTCAAAGTGTACAATAAATAGATATTTAGCAATTAAATAATAATTTTTAAAGAAGAAGACTAGTGTTTATTCCTGGAAACGGACATAATGTCTCGAATGGAGAATAGTTTTGTTTTTTATTTGTATAATTTAAATTAAATTTAACTATTGTATTTAGGGAATTAAACTATCAAAATTATGTGCATTGTGTGACTAGGACCCTTTTTATACGCGTCGGTCGCGTGCAGCGTGTAAAAGAAAACGAGGGCGCAGGCCCGTACCCCGGCGCCGAATAGACTTCTGGCGACACTGGGCTGACTGGGTGGTTAGCAAATCATATTAGTATTGATTAATAGTAATAATTAAAACTGTCTTTAAAAATATGAAAATGATAAATGCTTACTTTTTTCACAAAGTAGAATGCTTAAAAAATTACCAGTCCTAAGTGGTCTCCATCCGTCTTTAATGCTCGTTTATAATAATTCAGGATTAAATATCTATGATTATGTGTACTATATTCATTTTAAATAAAAATTATCATTGCTTATACTAAAGCAAATTGTAACGTGAAACATGTTAAGGTTAGTAATTTAAATAGTATAATTAGTAGTTATTAGAGATATATATGAATAGATTAGAGGTAATATTTTTGTTCGAGGGTCTTGTAAGAGCATAACTTCCTGGCTCGATTCTAACGTATTACATATCACGCTACGGTGGTGATTGGGGGAAGAAGGAACTTAGTGGGAAAAGCGACGGCAGTCGCCGTGGTGGAGGTGCAGTGAGTTGGTAATAGTCGTCAACAGAGTCAGTTGTTAGTGGTACGACAATGTGGCGGTGGGTGTTGGCGCAATCGAGCATAGTGCTCCTGGTGGGAGCCACCATAGACTACAGATTTTTGAGTAGACGATATGAGGAGCCGATTAAACAGGTATTAGAAATTGATCCAACTAACTCTTGACAGATTCAGATAATTCACTAAACAAAATGAAGATTAATTGTAATTTTTTTTTATTAACTTTTACGAACTTGCTATGTTAATAAAATTTGCGTTTATAAACGAGTGTGTTAATTGCAAGTGACGGGTGAAAGATATAATGCGGTACTAAATGTTGGCTTAATCCTAATTTATGAACGTTAGTAATACCGACTTAATGATGAAGTGCAATTAATGACCGAGAGTTATTATATATTGGTGTTTTTAATAACAATAAAATATTGGGGTTTTAGAAAAATAAAACCTACATATCTTCCGTCAAGATATCAATAATTTTTAATATTTTTAAATCAATTTTTTGAACGTATAATACTCAAAGCATTATTTCAAACGATTAAGAAATGCCGGCACTGTTTTCAGTAATAATTATTTGTAATTACTTCTGTGTGATAAAAAGAGTATAAAGTACGTTTTCCTGTTTCTAATCAAATATAATTAATTGTTAAGTTAATAACCGTGTATGAGCAACACAATAATTGTAAAAAGGTTTGGACAAATATGAAGCACGGTTAACTTTAAAATGATTTGTTTGTTCAAAGTTTTTGGAGATTTAAGACTCACGATAATTAAATAAGTTTAAGACATTATTAGATAATTATGTTCCTTAATTTGTGGTGGACCAATGTTTATGAAGTTTTCTATACTAATATTATAAAGAGGAGAGATGTGAATTTCACTTGCGGGAAACTTCATTATAGGCGAGTGACATAGGCTATGATTTATACGGGCAATTCGCGGGGAAACAAGTATTAATAAATACCTATTTTATTTATATTCAATTTCCGTTTAAACTGTAATAATTTTTTTATAGCATAAATATTATTATTAATTTATTAAGAACATTGTTGCTAAGCTTTTTGTTTAAATGATTCAGCAATATATTAAAATCATGTAAATTATTGAAAGTTTGATAAGATATTCAGTTGGTTTTTTGTTGTCATCTATTTCTATTGATTGTTTTTACTAATTAAATACCTTACATTATTTTAATTTCGGGCGGTGAACATAATATATTTATTCTTAATACAATCTATATTTGAAAAAATATATTAATATAAGGAATAATTAACTATAGAATATTCAATAATATTTTTACGATAATATTGCGTTGTAACGTTTTAGAATTTGCTATATGAATATAGCATCCGAAATATCTTCTGTTCTTTAACATGACAGTAATGTACATCGTAAGTGCAGCGAAAATACATTGTTTGCACGCTTCTAGCGAGTTAAATGAACTTAACTGTATTGTGTTATTGCTAGCGTACTCAGTGCCGACGTATGCGATATTATATAATTAACCATTAACTTTTCCCTTTTAGTTTCCACTGTCCTTTTTTGTTGCAGGCAGACTGTGTTGATTATTCTACAATGAATAATGGAAATTTCATTATTGGAGGTAATTATAGTTGTTATAATAACGTTAATTTAAATCACTTTTACAGTGATTATTAAATGGCTTTAAATTAACTAATTAATTTTAGGATTACGATCAAAACGATCGATTATGAAATTACAACGGACTGCAGCCTTTCATCCAACGTTTCCTCTGCTGAATACCAACGAGATATACGCTCGCCGGATCGATAGATTGCTCCCCAACGCAGAGGATATCGTCAAAGAACACGCAAAACTCGTGCAAGATATCAATGGTTTACGACAAGTGGCATTCGTTAAGCCTTTAGTTGAAGAGCCTAGGGATTATGAGGACTCGATATTTCACGACATAATTGAAGTTTCTACTACCGCACGTCCAGTACCGAGAGTGACTACCCCGAGACCGCCTCTCCGTCCGACTAGGTCGAATTCTATTCCTTTGATCCTGCTTGGCGGCGCCAGTCAGAACGACCTCGTTCGTACTCAGCCGATGAAGTTTTCAAAATCTGTCAGCCTTGTGGGCACACCTGTGTCCCCATTAAAACATCCTTATCCCTTCGTGGTGCACGGTACACAGAAACCCTTGAAGATTTGTATGAATCCAATGCATTTAAATATGTATACTACGACGCACAGACCTTCTTTGCTACAGCGACTCCTAAATTCTATATTGCCTAGAGGTAGATAGGTTGTAATGGTTACCAGATTTGTGATATTATAGTGTCTATATTAATAGCAACTACAAATATTTTAATAATAATGTAAAATAGAGTAAATTCGTGTTAATATCGTCATTTTTATCGCTTATGTTATGAAATCTATTGCCATCGTATTCATGTAACGGTATTGTAGTGATATCGTTTTATATACAGTTCACATAGTTTTTGTTCATAGCGACGCGGAAAGTGTGTATTTCCTGGCTAGGTGGTAACGGGCGTTGTAATGAGTTTAGTAGATATGATTCGATATGCGGCAACAAGATGCGTGCAAACCGACATTCGCGTCTCTAATTACTACTACCGATTATGTATTGTCGCGTTTTTTACGTTTAATGTCGCGTCGAATGGAAAGAGTTGTACGTCATTGATGTAATGATGAAACAATTATTATTAAATGGTGTTGTCATAATGCTCTCACAACACTGATACCGTGTCGTATTTTGAACAACTGAAACCGATTATCAATAATGTCATTTCCCGTATTAAAAAAGTTAGCTAATGGTTAGTTACTAAAATGAAATTGTCTTCTTCCTTGCATTGAATGGATTTTACATATTAGGTATAATAAGTATATGTGTTTTTTTTGGTTTTGAATTTTTTATTCAAATTCTTCACACTTTAATTATGTAAAATGCTATTATCAAACAATTTTTTTCCGGGCTTTTGATAATGTATATTTTCAGTAGTTAGCGTATCACAATCCAAAACACATGCATTTATTTAGAAATAGTACCTATCATTGCTGTCTTCGCCTGCAATGACAAGGATAACTAAAATTTTAAATTACCAAAAACATAATGTTTTCAAATAAAGTCCTATAAAGTTAATTATATGTAATTCTTAAATGTAAACGAATAATAAAGTGACAAAAATAAATACACTGGACCGCAAAGTAAACGGGTCGGCTAGAAAATCGTCAATATCTTGAAAACTACTTAACTTATTTTTATGAAATAAAAACTAAATTAAAGATTATTTAATTGTAATTTATTGAATATAAAAAAATACAAATTAAAAGTTGTCTATTTTCAATAAATGTCAAACGAATGAAAAAGGTAGTTTTTCTGACATTTTCGTAAATATGAATTGTATAAAGATGTGACGTTTTTACGCATGTTAGTATTTCGTGTTGCCTCCACGAGCTTGCAAAACTGCGGCTATGCGATTCGGCATACCTTCCACAAGGTTTTTAAGGCGATGCTGCGGAATGTTCTGCCATTCCTCGATCAAAGCTCCTTTCAATGCACGCAGCGTGATTGGCGGCGGATTCCGTTGACGTACACGTCGTCCCAGTTCGTCCCATGCATGTTCGATGGGGTTTAAGTCGGGGCTTCGTGCTGGCCACTCCATGCATGTGATACCTACTTCGTGAAAATAGTCGAACACTATCTGAGCTGTATGCGGGCGGGCGTTGTCTTGCATAAAAACAGCATTTTCGCCCATATCTACTACCAACCACCAACATAGTCATTAAGAATTTCATTCACATATCGTTCTGCTGTTAAACTGCCATTTTCTATCACTACGGCTCAGTACGGCTTTCGGAAGAAATCCCAGCCCACACGTGTATAGAGCCACCGCCATATGGTACTTTTTCTTCTATACAAGCTTGGTTATAGCGCTCTCCCGGTCTTCGGTACACTCTTTTCCTCCCATCGTGCTTGTATAAACAGAATCTAGACTCGTCTGAAAACATAACTCTTGACCAGTCATCCAGAGTCCAAGTTTCGTGTTCTCTGCTATAACTCAGCCTTGAGTTTAAGTGGTGTCTTTCTAATTTTGGGCCATTTGCAGGCCTTAATGGTCTCAAATTTGCTTCAGCCAGACGTCGCCTTACTGTATCTGTACTCAGATAGTTTCCTCCAGCTCGTAAATGGTGATTTTTTACCTCAACGGCCGTAAGAAATCGATTTCTCAAAATTGTTGACACCATATAGCGATCCTCCCGCGCAGTCGTGCACCTCGTTCGGCCTGTTCCTGGTCTTCTTAGGTTGGATCTAGTTTCATGGAAACGCTGGAGTACCCGCTGAACTGTGGAAAGACTCACACCAACAGTTCTCGCTGTATTGCGCTGACTGCGCCCATCTTCAAGCATTGTCAGGCTCCTGGTGCATTCTTCAGGGGTTAACGACATGATGACTTCAGAATACAATTTTTGTATGACAAACACACGATATTTATTGTAGTTTTTATGTCAAAACTAAAACAAATGCGAAACAAATGCTTTGATTTTTTTAGAACTAAATTGAAAAACAACCATTATCTTCATTGCCAGTTTTCTTACACAATTATCTAAAGTAAATAAAAAGGTTTTATATACTATGTTAAATAACATTAAATATTCTTTAATTGAGTTTTTATTTCATAAAGCTAGGTGAGGTAGTTTTCAAGTTATTGAAGATTTTCTAACCGACCCGTTTTCTTTGCGGTCCAGTGTATTTGTAAAGAAAAGAATATGTATTTAAACTTTCTCCCTGTATTATTGAATTAGATCATTGCTGAATATTAATGCTAAGAATTGGTGTATATTATGTAATTATCTACTAACATATCAATTGTCCGAAGATATCTGAGTAATATGCGATGTAATAAATAAATGTTTAAATGTAATATACGCCCTGTATGCTGTGTTTTTTTACCATGGACCTATGTGGAGCTATGCTATACAAAAACAATTATGTGATAACGATAAGTAATGAATTTCTTAACTTATTTATTTTTTCTTAAAAGTCGAAAAAATTGCCAAAGGTTGTGGGTTCGACTCCCACCTCGGGGTGCTTGCTGGAGTATTTTAAAGCATTTTTTATGAATTATATTTTTTTTTATTGAAGAAGGAATTCATTGTTTGGTCAAGGACCATCTATACTTAACTTATATTAAGAGGAAGGATTTGTTTGCTTGGAATGACCAATTCTGTTAATGTTTACGTAATAATAGCATCTCAATAGAAGATTTTATCTATCTATCTCCACGAGTTGCATTTTGTACTATCTATCTAAAGTTCAATATTATTAGTGCAATGTCTTCCTCGTTGAGATTGTATTGAGAAACGATAATAAAATAAACGTTACCAGAAATTGGGCTGCTGAACCGATTTCAAAAATTGATACATCATACGCTAGTGACGTAGGTTATAAATTTACGCATTTGAAGTCGTGGGTAAATAGGTTATGCTTTGTCGTTAAAAATGATATTGTGGTCGATAGAGATTTAATTGAAAGGGATTTCCGAAGAAAATAGAAAGATTGAATTCACTAAAGTATTTTTACTGAAAAATATATAAATGGATATTTTCAGTATTTTTAATTAAAAAAGTATTATTTCATGATTTTAGCGATATTGATATTTTTTTATTGAGTACGTTACTTTAACAGTCTTAGAAAGGGAGATTTTGTTTATTTAGTCGAAATATTTTTTTCAAGAAGCTATATTCATAATATAAAGAGGAAAGATTCGATTGCTTGTTTGTTTGAATTTCGTTCCGAAATTATTGGACTTTAATGGATTACTTATAAACTCTTTCATCTGTTTCGAAGTCGCGGGGAACCTCTAGTTTGATAGAAATTGGTTAACAATTCAAGAAAAAAATCGATGAACATAGACTTGTATTAAAATATACATACCTGTTGAACATAAAAAAACATCCTCCTTTCGGATTTTGAATGAATAGAAAATGAGATGAAAATTCCGCATTTTGATGAAACAATATACTAGGTAAAAGTTTATTTCGAGAATTATATTAAAATAAGTATTTGTATTACACTTAAACACTGTAACTGTTCTTAACACGTTTAGCTTTTTATACCCGTACATTATGACGCAAATACAATTATTTAGGAACATATTTCAATCCGATTTATTAGCATTTTAATAGGTAACCGTATTGTAATTCTGTTATAAGATTCTTAAGACAGTATTCATCGGTTACTATTATTATAAATTTTTTTTTAAACTTGTAAATAAAATTACATTTATGGTAAAATAAAAGGCATAATAAAAATTCTTTAAGTAGATTTTATTATTATAAGTTATAAAACTATGAGCACTACTTCGCTTACGATCACTATTTTCTAATTTTATTTCATTAGAAAATTGACCTGGAACTTGAAATTTAAATCTCTGTAAATAAGATTCGAATATCGAAGGACATGCAATTTAAATGAATATTCTACCGTAATGAGATATTAAATATAATATTACTTAATTAGTTACATGAAATATTTTATAGATTATAAGTCGAAACATAAGATTTCTTAAACATCGCGTTTATGAGAAGTAACAGTTTTAAATTATATAGATGAATTGATTAGGTTAATACAGCCAGTTGTACAAACTTCTATTAAAATTGTCATTAGATTAATGTCACATTGCTTATACAAATTTTCAAATTTAGTACATTCATTAGGGCTTAAAAATCGTTATTAAACTTTAATGGATGTTTGTGTAACTGACCATGAGGTAGGCATATATATATATATATATTCATTATCATCATCACCAGCCTTTTAATGTCCCCACTGGATGCCTTCCTTATGGATGGTTATGGAGGATGGGCCATAACCCTCCACGCTGGCCCTATGCGGATTGGAGGGTATTAACGACTGCAAATGCAGCCGGGACCAATGGCTTAATGTGCCTTCCGAAGCACGGAGTAGCTCAAGATAATAATTTTTTGGTCACCCATCCCGTGACCGACCCTAGCGAAAGCTGCTTAACGACTATGATCGCGGGCCGCGGCGCTTATCCATTACGCCACCGAGCTACGATATATATATTATTTAATAAACAAAGTTATTTTTTTTTAATATTATTTCTAAATAATTAGGTTTAATATAATAATTTACGGTTTTTGTCATTACAGTTGTATTATGAATCATTATTTCTCTTCAAATTCAGTATAGACTGACAAAATGACATGGTGTAAAAAAATATAAACTAAGTAAAATAGAAAAATTAAGTCTAATTCTAATAACTACGAAAAATAATAAGTAGTTACTTATAACTAAAATGCATAAATTCGAAATGGCTCCACTGATGAAATTAGTCTATCAAATCAAACAGAAACGTTTTTGAACATTGAAGTTTGAAAATCTTTTTATTAAGAAGTATGCTGTATGACATACTAGAAACATAAACATACTAGATATAATAATAACAATTGTCTTTGGGATATTGCCTACAATGGTAGCTCTTTTTTATTTTTTTGTGGATTTTTCTTCTCTAACATCCATTTGCACCAATATCCATAAAAATTAAAGCAGTGGTTTAACAATGTTGTTTAAGTTTTCATGATAATTTTCATTAGAATAATAGTTCTTTTGCAGGATTTTCAGAATTATCGGCGCTATTGCAATGCAAGCACCATGATCACGGAGTTCTATCATTCAAAGTCAAAATAAAAATTATCTTTATTCAAATAAACTTGTAAAAAAACTTTCGAATTTTTTAACTACTACTCGTTCAGGACGTCTATTGGCCGACAAGAAGAAAGAGCAAGAAACTTACCAGTTCTAGCACAAGTAAGACGTTTAAAAAAATTATGTCATTAATATTTTATTTTTTTTTACCTTTGGATCTTTATATGTAGTACCTAAATGTAGATAAATAAAGAGATGCTCTAAGTATCACACATCACTTGGAATGCTTGCAAGGACTATCAGTGGTATGTGGACCACCGTTTAAAAATCACTGGTAGCAAATTTTCAAATTTAGAACAATTATTAGAGCTTAGTCGTATTAAACCTTATTGGACGTTTGTGAAACTTGGTATATCAATGGTATATCTATCTATCTTATGAAATGATTACTGTTGTTTTTTGACACATTTACTCTATAAAAGTTTATGAATATAACTTTTTTTTTTTCAATGAGGACATATAGGCAGGTTAACCAAGAAGAATACATTTAATTCTATTAGAGACGCAAATATTAAGTAGCCAATATACACCACTATGCATGTGACACCAATCTTCCAATCCAGTTGGAACTTGTTGAGTGCCAGAGAGCCGTATAATGTGAACAGTGTGGTCAATAGTGATATAGCACTATATGAGAGTCCACTAGAGTTGATCAATACCTGTAAAAATAATATAAATTAATTCATAATGGACCGTAGTTTAAGATTATATTTAGACTGTTACTTTATAACATATTTCATAAATTTTGTTATAGAAAAAATATTAATAAGTTCACCATTCCTAGGTGCCAGATCTGACCGTTGAGTAAACAGAATTTTTATAAGAACTAAGGTTAGAATGAGGCAGTCGCATTTTAGAAGATAAGAGCGTAGGATTGGTGAATTTCTAAGTGAATTTACTAGAAGATAAGTCGCAGTTACCTAATTTTATAACAATGATTACAGATATATAACGAACTTAAATTCGTTAACTTTCGTTAATAGCTACTTTCTCGAAACTGTTTCTAATAGTTATTTTGGCTGTTATTGACCTTATTACCATCACGTTTTCTCAATTCAATATCTAATGTTACACTGCTAATTTAAGTGTTGATTGCAAATACACGGTTGTATGTATTCCCGCACAAACCCGCCAGCATTTCAACAAAGAATTTTGCATTTTGTGTTCGAAATTTAAGTTAATAAATGTCGTTTAGACGATCTGCAACAAGTAATGTTACTTCTGCTGGACTTTGAAATCTATTTGCAACTGTGTAGGTCACGTTTTAATTATATAATAATTATAAATAAACTACTATGTGAACTCAGAGAAAATCATCTATAAATATTATAAAGAGGAAAGTCTTGACTGTTTTTTGCCACGAGTATGCTCCGAAATTACTATTTATTTTCCCTACTGAGCTATAATATCATATGCGGATGACATGGGTTATAATTTATACAAGCAAAGTTTTTAAACAGATAGTGTTATATAAATTTGTTATTCTATGGCTCCCTACCAGCTAATAAAAAATAGAAAAAAAACATAATAGTCTTCATAGCATAGTCTAACTTATATTGGTACAGCGAAGAAAAAATATCTTGTCGTTGGATCCGAAGATTGCACAAAATGTGTTATTTTATTGAGATACTTACAAAATGACTACCGGGCGTGCTGGGATAGAACAGTGCCTTCACGAGCCAGGGTAACCCCAGACATAGTAAGATGTCAAAAGTGTTAGATCCTATGGAGTTACTGATACCCATAGTACCATGTCCTATAAAGAAATTAACAATAAAGTATAGTATAGTAAATAGTTATCAACTTTTTTCGTTCTTAACGAATGCAAACAGAATTAGAGCAGTGTATTTTACCTCATTGATACCCTAGAAAGTTTGAGTTTGAAACGAAATATTGCCGCAGGTATCTTATATTAAAATTATAAAATTCTAACTTTAATCTGTGTTTGTTTTAACTTTGTTGGAGGTTGTTTTAATAAGAGAAAAGCTTTACTAATTTAAGAAGTTTCTTACCGTGTTTAGTCACCAAAACGCTGGAGACGGCTTCAGGAAGACTGGTGCCAGCAGCGAGAATCGTCAGACCCGTGATGCTGTCAGGGACGTCCAATGTATCACCTAGTACAACATTTTTAGTAACATAAATTTAGACGACATCACATGTAGTAGTTTACTATGTACATTGCTCAGCTATACTTTGGCTTTCCAATGAAAACAGCCTAGAACTCGTTGTAAAGCACAGAGCCGTAACAGTAGAGTTACAGATTGGAGCAGAGCACAGAAGTTGAGAGCTTCAATGATATAAAACCTTTTGATGTATAATATAACAGAGCTGCACTCGATGTGGAGTGCCAAGCTATTTTTATATCAAAATAGCACTGCAGAACCCTTTAGAACTGTATGTTGTATTATGAAAATCCGAAACAGTAAAGATATCACAAGATCCAGCCTCAAGACAATATGGAAATAGTGAATACGGAACCTGTTATATTAGAAACATCTGAAAAATATTCGCAACAAAACCATTTTAAAGAATTTTTATTCAATAAGGAAAGTTAATTGTCCACTAAGGAGCACAGTTGTTTCATTAAATACTGTAGTTGTTTTCATACACATATGTCATCTCCATAAATATTTATCTCATTTTGTAGTAAAGCTTATAACATACACATATGTAGTTATAAGTTAGTTACGTAATTTTAGACGATATCATAATCGTTTCCTTGTAAGTACACCACCACCACCACCACCAGCCCTTACGTCCCCACTGCAGGGGCTCAGGCCTTCCTTATGGATGGTTAAGGAGGATGGGCCATGACCCTCCACGCTGGCCCAATGCGGATTGGAGGGTATTATCGACTGCAAATGCAGCCGGGACCAACGGTTTAACGTGCCTTCCGAAGCACGGAGTAGCTCGAGATAATAATTTTTTGGTCACCCATCCCGTGACCGACCCATGCGAAAGTTGCTTTACGACTACGATCGCGGGCCGCGTCGCTTATCCACTACGCCACCGAGCTACTCCTTGTAAGTATATCTTACTAATAATATAAATGTGAAAGTTTCTTTGTTTTGGATATTTGTCCGTCAATCACGCTGAAACTACTGAACGGATTTTGATGAAATTTGGTACATAGATACAGTATTAGCGAACTTAGATAAAAGTATACTTTTTGTTCTACTAAACATTTCTAGTATTTATTAAAGAACTTGTCCTGATTCCTTTTTACTGAGTCATCATCGCCTATCGTAAATTATTGAAGTTGGTCAGTTGAATTAGTAATTTTGTAGAGTACACAGACTTTCTCTAAGGAAGTATTATTAGCCCCTAAGGGGACAAAATTGGTATTGAAAGTAAATATGGAAGTCCCTTATTTTATAAGTGCTCTAACCATTAAGATCCTCCATTTTATTGGTAAACGGAATATTCGTAAGTTATAAACATCACCTCGAAGTCATCAATTTAGGACATCAGGAAGTTGAAGTCCTAATAGTGAAGACATTTGTAAGTGAAGAGGAATTGTCTACATCTGGGCTAGCGCCATTAGTTAAGAAGTTGCGGTATCTTGCTATGTGTAGTATCTATTAGTGTTTTTGCCGTCGAAAATTATGGGTGTAATGGCATTACATTGCCACAGTTATTAGAGGTGTATGAATGTGTTTAAGGCTTTGTTTTTATGGGATACAAAACGTGGATTGTAAGTATAAAAATAAATTACCCAAAATTGTAATGATCCAAGCCACAAGGTACGATACACCTCCAATCCAGGAGACGCACATGATGAAAGTAAGAGGGTAGAAGCGGGGATTGCGGCGGCAGTCAGGCACAGTTACCCACAGCAGCAGACCGATAGGCCAAGTTACCAGCCATAGTAGTTTCTTCAAAGCTGAAGTCTTCTCGTCCGGCCATGACCATAGTGAGCTTACGCTGCTAACGTCTGCATAAATCAATGTACTGTCAACTCACTTATCCAAATTATGAAAACGCCCAAGTGAATGATTAGGTCTAAATAACTTTAAAACAATTTTAAAATTTTCATCATAAAAAGGTAGTAAGATATCTTATTAATTAAATGTAAAAAGTTCTTGCTCATTTGCTTTTGTACTGTTTAAGCTTACTATAGTATAGTATCTTTCAGATTTTTTAAGATACATTCTAAGCTGAATAACTCTTCCTCTGATTTTAGGAGAAAACTCCACACTGATTTTATTTTCAAGTCAAACAACTTTTTATTACCCGATCCCTCGGAATCATGTCTTCTTGTAATTTCTATTCCTTGTTCCAAGTCTTTGGGTGTCATACGGTGTGAAGGATCTAAAGGGTGGTGTTTTTCTGTGAACAATTTTCATAAAAAATATATTTTTTTATTAAAAAAAATGTATACAAAATATAGAGATCGGGTTGAATATTAATGTATAATGATTTTACAGAATCGAATATATTTAATGCTATATAAAGTATTAAATGACGTATGTTGTCAGTCGTAGAAACTATATTTTTATTAAAAAAATATATAAAGTATCAACGCTTAATTCACATAAAACGGTTATTGGTATTTTTATTTAAAAAGTTCCATCACATGTAGGCAGGTAATTATTTAATATTTCCGTCGTTTATATTACACAGCAGGAAATACGTGATTTCATATGCTTCATTAAAAAATTCGATATGCAGTGTTAATTCTGCTAATAAGCTGTTAATATAACGACAGTTTGCGATGGTGATATTTTTCTGTTACTGTAAAAAGCACAGGCCAAGATCGATGGGTTTATTATTAAATTATATCGCTCCCATGGCTTCTCGTTCCATCAACAGACCCGGCATATTAATTCTGTTAATATTTATATTAATTTATTTGTGTCTGATAAGTAACCAAATACCCATTAAGATCAGCTTTCAATATTCACTGTATATTAATCCCAATATTTTTTCATTATTTCACTCACAAATCTTTCTCTTCAATCTCCTCAATTTAAAATCGAAAATAAACATTTGTAAGTTTAAAAGTGGCCAAATCAATAGTAATTTGTATTGTTCTTAGGCTATTTATTTCGGTAATAATCTGTTATTATATAATAAGATGTAATGAGAGACGAAGAGAATAATTTAATTATTCCATATTCAATACATACAAACGAAAGTAGATCTGTTTATTTGTCAGTTATGCTCTCATTAGGCATGAGATAGTAGGCACCTACTAAACAGAGTTGATTTAAGACGATACAGGTCGCTTTTATTGTGATAAAAGAGTTGCCATTAGGAATTAAAGTTTGTATGGAAGTTCGCCATTGCCAAAGACAAAATCATGAATTTTCAAACTCAGGTATTTTACACTATATAATGGAAATATATTTGTTTTAGCGTTTTTAGAAATGCTGCCTAAATTAACAAAACCACTCGGACGAATTCGCGGGCAAAATCTAGTTGTAAATAAAAGTTAAAAAAATAGTAACCTTTTATAAGCAGAGGCGTGACTTCAGTGTACATTTTAGGTTTGCTAGGAACACAGCAACTGCTTCGAACAAATTTTCCCAGCCGTTTATTGAACACCATTGCTGCAAGAAAACATTAATGTTATTCAATTATTATAGGTGAGGTCGGCAACCATAAACCAAAAAACACAACAATTTAAAAAAAAAATCATAGTTTTCAAAAGCCTACTGAAAGATTTAGTTTAAATATTATTATTCATATTATATTTGAGATAAATATAATCCTAATCGTATTACAATCGGTACTCTACAGATTGATTACACAAATTATAGGATATTGAAAGTAGTATATATTTTTCTGTGAATGGAACATGAGAGCATCGAAAGAGTATAACATCGCATTCGGTTTGTGAACCACAGGTTGCCAACTCCTGATAAAAAAATAAGAATATTTCTATATGAACAGAATAGCTTTTGTTATTCACATTTAACGGAATTGCAGAATTGATGAATATTTTAAAGGAGCCTTCTTTATCGCATGTTAAATACTCACCCAGTATATAAAAGGTATACATTAGTACCAGCAGCAGAGCTTCATACCATTGGATCATATCATCGAGTAGGGTCAGTATCAAAGCTACCACTGTCACAGCATACATCAAACAATCCCGCGACACTGACCACCAGTCTAATTCGATTACCTGTGTTCAAACAATCATTTAACACTATAAAAACCTAGTAAAATGTATGTTACATTGCCATAATATCGGTAAGATATCATATCCTACAGCTAGAAAGATGGTAGTCGCAGCTAGCGTAGCGTGACACTTTTCTCGGGTCGAGAGTGAAATATTGTATGGGTGTTCCGAGAAAAGTGACATTTAGGTGGGAAAAAAAACGTTATTTTATTCAACTTCTAATAGTGTGGTTTACGCTGCCTTTGAGTTGTATTTTAATTTAACAGAATTACATTACAGTATTTTACTGTCAATACTAATTACAATAGGTTATTGTATGGTTATTTGATGATTCCTTATTTTTCAGTTTATAATCATTGTAGAATGACAACATAAATAGGTTTTTTGTTAATTGATTGAATACGAAAGTGTTGGGTTATTAATTACAATGTAGCGTTTGGCCTTCGGCAATTAAATAATGAGGAAACTGTCATGAGTGCTAATTGATTTAAAAATAATTTGCCCACTCAGAAATCTGAAGTGTGCTCTAGATAGCGACATTGTTTTATAATAAGGAAATGTTTTGTAATAAATGAGTGTTAAAATCTATTTTATTGTAGGTATTGTAATATATCTACCTACATATTACATAATGTTACTATTTATATGTTAAGTAATAATTAAGTATGGTCGCAAAGCTTTGTTGATATGTTGTATAATTAAAAATTCGCTTAAGCATCAATATTCTACAATGACATATATTATTTACAATACATTATAATATTGACAAATGTATTTATTATTATGTAACAAAATAATTTTATAGCTTTTTAAATGTGATTTTTTAGACTTTTTTTTTAATTAATGTATTACTAAATAAAAAAAAATATTTTAGTTAGAGAAAAAAATTGAGGAATGTATTAAGTGAATACATTTCACTTAATACATTCCTCAATATTTTTCTCTTCATAAGAATTCCCCTTCTTACTTCAACGAGCATACAAACAATAGTCAGCCTGTTTTAAGTTTTGCGCATTATAGCTACATTCATATTGAAGACATCCTTACGCTTTGTTTTACATTATGCTATAATTTTTTTAACGTACTCTGCCAGCGAAGAGTGCGCAGCAGGCCGGCACTGCCAGAACGTTGAACACGGCAGAGCCGACGATAGCGCCGACGCCCAGATCACCTTCCGTCACAAATGTACCGACGCAGTTGATGAACAGCTCTGGACTCGAGCTCGCAGCCGCCATAAACGTGGCGCCTGCTATATCCGACGGCATTTCGAATCCTTCACATGCGGAATTTTGAAATTAATGGCAATACTCAATCGGTTCAGACATCAGACGTCTAAGGAATAACAAAGCTAATATACAGCACGAAAATGGAAGAATGTAGAAATCGGGGAACCCAACGTCTGCTTTCTACGAGCAGATTTATAGGTACCTACGTGTAGTAAAAGAGAGTATTAATAAAACATCTAGTTTGGAGAGTCATGGGCCATCCCTCCTTAACCATCCATAAGGAAGGTCCTAGCGCCTGCAGTGGGGGCGTAAAAGGATTGACGATGATAGTAAAACATTATTTTTCGAAATATCACAATGTTCAAAAATTAAAAAAAAGCTATTGATAATGTGAGTTAATTATTTCATTCTTTATATCGATAAAGAATGAAGGAATTAACTCACATTTCAATCGTTTTATAATCATAAAACAATTTGAGAATAAAGTCCCTATGGATAGTTTGCACGGTCAGTGACTTTAAAATCTAGGCAAGTCGGTGCTTACTCATTGTAAATTGAATCATAAAGACGTCAATACGATCACACAACCACAGAAAATATACATAGATTCGCCCTAGCATATTAATAAAATCATCCAACAAATTAAATTTTAGAAATTATATTGATTGTTATTAAAATTTTCAATTCTCTGTTAACACTTGATATCTATTTTAATGTATAATTTATCAGTATTTCCAACCATATTTTCTACATATTTTTTTGCCGTGAAATTCGTATCATTACTATTACTGTACTATTATTATTATTTTCTTAGTCCGGTCACGTTATCAATTTCTGATAAATTAGACACGCTTTTTATTAGATTATTTATTTTAATAATAAGATAATATCACAGGTTTTATCGATAAAATTTGTAGTAATCATGACTTTTTGTTGATCTTTTATGGAGTGAAAAGATGTTTTTTATATAGTGAATACACAATAGTAATCTCTAAATATAACATTCGCAATTAAGCATTTTATGAGCGCAAAGTCGTATTACAAATCGCTCTACACATATCTATATTATAATTTATACTCAATGTTGAGGAAAACGAATGAAAAATCCAATAAAATAAAATAAAAGTACTAAGAACTATTTTTTAAACGAAACCCAAACGTAGATAAAGTTTGTTGATGTTAATTCGATATTCATACGACGCTGGAAATGTAATACGTAGTTACCCCGTAAAACCAAATTGGTCTTAAGAGTTAAAAAAAAAATAGTAAAAACACCCTTAACTCTATCAATACTTGACTCTATCAATAAATGGTAACTCTTAACTCAACAACATAACAAGATTTTGTTTTGCGAAAAAGTAAAAAAAAAACGCACTTTGAAGAACTATTTTGATTTTGCTGGTTACTAAGTGTTTGCAGTCCAGCGTCGATATTGTATTTCAATACACTTACGTTCACACATCATATCGATTGCTGGTACGAAGTACTGCTCACATACTGTACTCAGCAGAAGAAAACAGTAAATGGCTAAGATGCAATGAATAATAATAAATCCCTGAAAAGAAATAAATGAATAAAAATAATTATAGGAAATTAATTATTTTTCTACAAATACTTCGATAAGTTCGGCCCATTGACTTTTATTATACACATATGAACAACTTTATGAAAGAAAACCTCTATATTGTAATTTAATAAGTTTAAGTTGTGGAAAAAGATAAAAAGTTTTATGTATTAAATGTTATTCTCGTAATAATACGATTATTAACAGTGTCATCAATATTAACCTTGTATGTAGACAATAATAATAAATTAATAGATACGTTTAATTTACATACACTAAGTCGTTGTTTATGAGTCAATCCATCTGGTGGAAATTCTAAGATTGCGGCTGGAGTGCAGTTCTTTCCATTTTCAACTAAGCCGAGAAGATGTCGAGTTGAGAAATTTTCTTCAAAAACTGCAACAATGCGTGTAAAACACAATTAATTATATTATGAACGAAATATTGTTAAGACAAACTAGGGTCCTGTTTCTCGATAGCTATAAGTCTTGTAATGCATTATAATGACCGTGCTAGCACAAATATTTTTGTTTATAAACCAGGCAATTACCAAGGGCTCTCGTATTTAGAGGGCGGCATGGCATAGCAAACTTATACATTATAGATTATGTTTGCTCTAATAATTCGAACCTTAAAAGAAATTACTTTTCTTTTTTGAACAAGAGTTTATGTCCGCGGTATTCAAAAGTAGAAAATTGCCAGGGCAGACGTACCTACCTACTTATGGAGTTTCTTTTGTCATTGGAATAATTACCCTCTTTAATCTACATTACACAAGTCTTTTATTTTATTGTGATTTTTATGAGTATTCGTTCTAGTTGTACTAGTAGACTTTTTTATCTTCTAGTGTTTTGCCTAGGGAGCTAAGTTTCATTAAACCAGCTCTGACCATCACTAAAACACGACTAATAAGAGTTTGGCTTTCGAGAAACAAAATTCAGATAATCATCAGTTTTCATACTATAATCTAAAGTTTAAAATACTTAAAAAGAAATTCGTTCAGTTGTTTGGAAAGTTCGCTTTATGAAAACGTAACGAGCACAGCCTGCAACTTTCACGAGGGTTTATCATGGGTTGGCAAAAATTGTCCTGTGCTCCAGCTTGGGGGTTCAATGCTAACACTGTTAAGCAATTTTAATTTGTTGCCTTTTCGTTTATAAGCAGCGTTCTTTACTACTTTGGCGCAAAGAAAGATGTTAGGAAGTTGCAATTGATAACATTCAACTAATGCTCTACTAGAGTAGAAAAATAATTATCCACTACAGATAGTGGTAGTCTGAAATAAAATCAGCAAAATATTTGACGTTCAGCACAGGGCTGTTTAGCACAGAGGTTCGATTAAACAAATTCTACTTGAAAAGGTTTGTAAAGTAAGACGTCGCCTCCGAGTTTGAAGCTGATTTTGTTACAGAATAGCACAGTAGAGTTTCTGTAGTAATAACACATCATAGCTCATTTTCCTATCCATAGCTATACATTCGGATGGTTTGTAATCTAATTGTAAACACATAAATATGCCAAGGGCTGTAAGACATTCGTGAGTTATCAAGTGGTTTTTTTATAGAATCTATAGATTACCTGGTTCTAGATCGATTTGAACATCATAGTCACTCTTCGCTGTTCCAATCGCACACACAAACACAAAATAGGCCAAAGGTATTCCGGCAAAAAACAAAACTCTTATTAGAAATGCAATATTGGTTTTGCACACGCGTCTAGTCCTTATTAACATGATTGCCATTTAGAGTTGAAAAAAATATAAACGATTATATTGACTAGAAAAGGGAATAAAATTTAACACTCAGGGAAAAGCGTATTTGAGTTGTCGTCAAATGAAAAAATCGAATATTTTGCTGTATATACAGCACAATAGCATTAGTACAAGGTAGCTCTTGATTGATACATGTATAAACATATAAGCGTGCTCTTCGTTGGGTGATCGTAAAGTCACTGCATTTGTTACCATCTTCAATATATCGAAGCAAACATCGATAACAAAATATTATTATTGGAATATTATTGATATCTTTCTTATCGATGTAAGTGCAAACAGTAGACGATGGTTTAATCGTCGGCACAGTTTGAGTTGAAGGAATAGTTGTCAAGAGCAGGTTGTAGGACACTACTTACTCCTAAACTAATTTGTAAGGAACGTGTAATTGATTTTGTTAATATTTAGTTTCAGAAAGAACAAAAAAAAAGGTTATAAAAATTGACCATAAACAAATTTAAATATTAAAAATTCTAGAACTTTATGTAATTCTTATAATAAGATTAAAACCTACCCATTAGTCGTTTTATTCAGGCAATTATTGAAATTATAAATGATTTTTCAATAACTTCATTATCCATGTTTCAATTTTAATAAAATCTTATTTTCTTGGCATCATATCACTACATTAAAATGTGTCTAAGAAATGCAAATTAAGAAAATACGTTATTATAAAGAAAGCGAGCTGTTTTATGGCCTATAGGTATATAGGCTCTAAATTTATACGGGCGAAGACGAGAGAAAGCAGCTAGTTGTGAAATAAATTAGGTAACAATTTAGAAGAGTGTGTTTATACTTACACATTCAAATAGATGTTAATAGAAATATGTAGGTAAATATTGTAATAATACTATAAAAAAATATGATGATAATTAATAGAAAAACGTTACTTTATTAGTTACATCATTGTAAACGAAAAAATAAAGTGGAGCTCGATGGCGCACTGTTCGGCGAGTTCTGTATAAGACGCGAAAGTTAAGCAACTTTCTCAAAGGTCGTTCACAGGATGGGTCTTTCACCAAACTTTATAATCTCTCTGATCTATCAGGAAAACTATGCTCCAGAAGTAGATCTTTAAAAGTGTGATTGACGATGGTGAAATCAACTTAAAGTTACTTTAAGTTTATTTATGTTAAGTTTATACAAGAATAAATTTGTTTAGCCTAGACATAAGGCGTGAATAGATTGTCCCGGTAACGAATATGGCATTCCCCCACGTGAGGGTACACTGTAAGGGTTTTAGTGGGTGGCTCCTGTGAGTCTATTGAGCGAATACCCGATGGATAGACCCACAGTGTGGAGTGCCACATAACCTCGGGATGGATCTTTGTTTAGTGCAATATCTCCTACGAGTTTTCAAGTAAGTTACAAATGGGTACGAACACCTCCTTGGATTTACAGTATTTATATGTGCACATATTTTTATATCTATTAAGTATGTGAGATTATTAACAAAATTAAAAAAACCTAGTGTCGACGTAATTATTTTGAGGACTTACTGTTGAATTTTTAGTTAGTTTTTGTTTGAGATTATAGATTTTTCGTTAACCATCGTAGGATTAGCCTTTGCGTAAGTTGCTTAACTTCGACGCCTCAGACCGAACGTGTTTTCTACTGTATCATCGAGATTCTAGGTATCACCATAATTTATTTTTCACAGTTGAAGTAAAAGTAGAGTGTAACACTTAAACCTTCCATCGTTAAAACCTTGGGAGCAAACGATCTCGTAATAATGGACCCTCTTAGTTAACATCTACTAATAGTAATCAACCTTTTTTACTGTCATCAAAACTCAGATACATATACCACGACCTATCAGTTATTTATTTGTTCAAATTTATATGCAGTTTAGTTTTTCTTTCCGATTAATCATGAAATTAATTATGTACTATAGTATGAGTTATGAAAATTGACAAGGCGCCAATCTCTAAGTTGCTTGCTTGAAGGATAAAAATATTCCGTTAAGAACACTAATCTAAAGATAACTACTGTTTGAGTATGCTAGTACCTTTCCACTGTATACCTCAGCATGTCCTATCGTATTTACAACATGTTATTTGTATTGGTTTCGTATCAATAAGTATTGTAACATCGATAGTGCGATGTGTATCGATGTGTGTTTTTTTTACTATAGAGAAAGTATGTTAAAATATTTAACTATTTATAGATTTAGCCAAAAGTTAATAATTTATATTTTTCTTTGCCTAAATGTGGTAAATTAAAAAAGAAAATTACGGAAGCATTTTTATGCGGTCTTCAATAAAATGAATTACTCTTTAATTTATGAGGAAAGTTCTTTAGGGTGTTTGTAAATTTGCTGAAGATGTCGATATTTGTTGGAACAATATACGAGTATGCGGACTATGCATATATTTTTACGAGAAAAATGGTCGTACTATATATATAGTGTATGCTCACGCTTGAAGCCGGCTTGAGTCGCTAGTTTCGATTAATTAGACCGTAAATTTGTCAATGACGATCGTTGTCCTCTGTAATAATCTTAATTCTATTTTTATCATTAAAGAAATATAATCAGTATTTAACCTTTAAGATCAGGGCTTTGTTGCACCATGCCTCGATAAAGTCTATAGTATACCTACAGCCTAATTATCTTGAGATAGATTAAAACTAGTATCACTGACAAACAACAACAAATGTAATAAATCTATAAGTGTTTTTTTTTTGTTTCTTTGTAATGGTTACACTCAAAAAATATTAGAGCAATTTCAAATGTGATAAATTAAATTTGCATTAACCATAGTCTATACCCGCGTGTTTGATATAGGTGAAAACTTTTCATGACAGGATCAGTATTTCCGAAGATTATTTCTCTATAAACAAAGAAACAATAAAAGTTAGAAACGTTACTTCTTTTATTAGTATCTTCATACTCGTATCCATAGATATGCTTGTCAGGTCTATTTTCGCCATCAAACGGAATTAAATTATCCTTTTTTTAATCAGTGTTATTTTAAGGCTAATATATTAATATTTGCCAAATTATAATCATTTTATGAAAATCGAACATATAATCACCAAAACTCTAATTTCAATAATTAGCCTAATAGAATAAAATGTCTCAAAAATGACTTTAAATAGGTTTTCTGGATCGATTTTACTGCTAATGTATTTCATCTTAACAGTATAAAAATATAAACAAATTCTTTTGATCACAAAAAAAATATAACTGCATTTGTTTGTTTTTTGATAAATAATAATTAATGAAATCATGCGAGCACATCTTTACTCTCGATGTGTATTTCTTTGCCTATTTACATGGGAACATAAGCGGAGGCAAGAGGGCCTTCAGGGCCGATGTTCGATGCACAGTTTCAATTCCAGTTGGGTGAATACAGAAAAATAAACTTTTCTAAATTAGAGTGTGTTTGAGTGGTTTTGAGTAGGTACTTGTAGGTAGGTAAAATAAGTTTACAGTTTTTTCACATTGGCCTCACAATAACTCGTGTAGAGTTGGATTAAAACGTGAACTCTTCAAATTCCTCCTTACTATCCACGCCTCTTTTTGACACTTACTTATTATGTACAACTTTACTCTTCAATCGATTTGACTATGAACAGTGTCCTCGATTGTGTCAGAGATCGTCAAATAAATAAATTTAAAAAAGGTTCAGTACTTCCTTTTACAATGTTTGTGAAGATTATCATCATCATTCGCTTAAGAAAAATGTATACTA